TTTTGAATATTTTCTTGATAAAGAAATAATGTTTGAGCATATGTATTTAACTTGATATAATCACTACATAAAGTATACACACTCCCTGATTCTCTGTTAATATGTATATTTGTATTTTATGCATTAAAAGAGTTTATAAAAATAATAGAAGAGAAAATGTTTAGGACAAGAAAAACATCTTCAGATACTTGAGGAATCATGAAATTATCAGCTTTGGTCTAGTGGATCCATGAATTTATGACATAGAGTTTAATTCTGTATCAGTAGAAGCAGTGGGTGGTAAATAGAGGCTAGAGCTGGGGCATATGTGTTTACAGGTTTGTGGTTGCAATTTTGTAATAACTGCCCCATCCTGGTACTGATGCCTTCACTAGATCTGTTTACCTCTAATATCTAGTACAATTAGGCCAATAATTCTACAGGCACCCTGAAGATATTTTAAGGATATTTGAATAAGTGGCAAGAGCTCTCCCGGAGAAATGGAAGGAGTGTCAAAGCCTTTCTTGTTTCATCATAATAACCCCTAATTCTTTCTAAATTCTATCTCTTTCCAAAATTAAAACTCTCTCCTTGTTTAATTTTTACATACACTGGAGCGGGGTCTCAAGAGAGATATGTGTTGGAAAACAAGGGTCCTTGGAAGAGTTCCCAGAGGGAGCCCACCCAAACCTCAAATATCTGATCAAGCTTTTGGTGTGATTGCTTCCCTTCGAAGTTCCTGGAATTTAACCCATGGCTTAGTTTGAGCTGAGAAACATTTCCTCCTTCTTGGAATCAATATAAACTAGTCATTCATCAATTATTTTCAATGGATTTTTACTCAGTATAGACTATGTGACAAGGTTTGTGCCAGGAAATAGGATTATCATCGGTGAACAAGGGAGTCCTAGCTGTCAAGGCATTCCAGGCACAATGGGAGCAAAGCAGTTTTCAGGCCAAGAGATTCAAGGCGGATGTCCCTTTTGCTTTCTCTGGGGAAGGCCAAAAGCTCAAAGGCTGGGAATTTCAGACACTTAGGCATTATTCTGTAATTATCTGTCTCAATCCCTGAAGCTCTCATCCCAGTCTTGCAGACACACAGTGATGCCTCTCATGAGCCATTTCACCAAAGTTGGGGAGAAACTATCAGCATCTCCTGTGAAGTATGTTAATCTAGGGAAGGATCAGGTGATTCAGCTCTGATGGGGATAGGAAAGTTGAAAGCATTTCCCTGTTGTGTTGCTAAAATAGATTTACTGGGAGGTCAGGCTAGTGGAAAGGATTGGAGACTTTGGGACAAGTTGAGCATTTGGTTTTGCATTTATGCGGATTCTGACAAAATAGAGAAAAAGGACAGAGTCCTGTAAGGAGTGTGTTGGAGTGCATTGGAAGCTCCAAGTGTGGCTTCCTATTTGGCCTCTGAAATCAAGGAAAATAGTAAAACAATAGTGTCTAAAGAATAAAGTAGGGAGGTGGATGGACCATTCTTTCCTCCACTGACAGGGACAGAGGAAAGAACTTGTGCATACAAAGAAGGCCAGTCTAATTCTTGAATTGGAGGGATAGACAGAAGGTACCCGGTTTTGCAGAGCAGGTGAAAGGAATAAATCAAGAAATTGAATATGGGCCAGAGCTTAAATGAAGGGGCCAGATTATGCTCCCTTTCCCAGTTCTGCCTGTTAGGTACTCCCCTCAGGCTCTGCCTAGCTCCCAAATACAAATGGACAGATGAGGGGGTGTAGAGGAAAAAGCAGGTTTGGACCTCACATATTGGCGTGAAATGAAAAGTCAGCAAAAACCACTGGGTGGCAGCGTGGTGTGCTGGGTGCAGCTCTGCAGTGCCTGCTGCTGCCGCTGTGGAGGTAGCCGAGCCCATCTGGGAGCCTTGGCCTCCTCTCCTAAAGGGCTACAAGTGTCGCCCGGCAAAATACCTCCGCTGGCAGGTGGGGGAGGGTAGGGGGCTGTAGCATAGCCTAGGGCACTGGTCTGGCCAACTTCTTGGGCTCCTGCCTGGGCGTGGTCTTCCCAGCTCCCAGTGGAACACTCAAGGCACATCCCCACCTCGCTCCTCCCCGCCCCAAAGCCTAGCAAACCCCAGCTCCTCCAATGCAACTGCCTCAAGCTGTAGTTCATCACCCTTTCCTAGAAAAGGGAAGGAGAAGGCTCTGGGCGAAGAGGCAGTGTCTTGATCCCCTACAGGTGTTAGCTGGAGCTGCGGGCCCGGGACATTGGGGGTGGGGTGGCTGGGGGCGTCGGGCAGGCGGGAACCAGTAGCTGGGCTCCTGGAGGGTGGGGCCGCCGAGGCAGGGAGGGGGCCGCCGGGAGGCCATCGCGCTCTTCGGGAGGGTGCCTGCAGCAACTGGATTCCTGTGCTGCGACTGTGCCGCGCCCAGAGCAGCAACCACAGCGACGATGCCAGGCCATTACCTGTTTGATCCCTTCTGGAAAGCTGGCGCCAGCCAACTTTTGCCGACCATCAAGCCTAGAAGTTGCAAGGACTAGTGGAAGCGCCGGAGGGGCCAGGACAAGGGCGCGCTGCCTCCTCCCTCCTCGCGCCAGCCGCCCGCGCCCGCGGCCTCTCTCCCGCCCGCCCGCCGCCCGCGCGCTCTCCCTCTGCCCGCCTCCCTCCTCCGGCCCCCTCCACGCGGCACAGGGCGGGGGGTGGGGGGGTGCCGTGAAACTCCGACCCGAGCCGCTTGGACTCGCACAGTGTCCTCGGGGCTCAGGGGCCGAGCGCACGCAGTAGCAAGCGCAGCTCTCTGCCTCCTCCTGCCAGTCCAGCCACGATCCCGGCCCGGGGCTGTGGCATCGGTTCGGACCCAGGCATCCAGCAGCCTTCGCGGGAGCCGGACCACCGTCAGGGGAGCTCGGACGGCATGCTGAGCCCCCTCCTCGGCTGAAGCCCGAGTGCTCAGAAGCCCGGGCAAAGCGCAGGCTAAGGAGACCCAGGCGGCAAAGGCGCGAGCAGGCAGCAGCGGAGGAGCAGGAGGAGGCGAAGGCAGAGCGGGGCCCCTAAAGAAGTGGTGGTGGTGGGCGTCGTGGCCATGGCGGCGGCTATCGCCAGCTCGCTGATCCGGCAAAAGAGACAAGCCCGCGAGCGCGAGAAATCCAACGCCTGCAAGTGTGTCAGCAGCCCCAGCAAAGGCAAGACCAGCTGCGACAAAAACAAGTTAAACGTCTTTTCCCGGGTCAAACTCTTTGGCTCTAAGAAGAGGCGCAGAAGGAGACCAGGTCGGAAGGGGCTTTCGCCTTTTTCTTTTTTCTCCCTTGTACTTTACGATTGTGGAGGGGATTGGGGGCTGCATGTAAGCGTAGGTGAGTTTGGAGCCCAGCCTGTGCTGATGAAGCCACCTAGCCCGTGTGCGTGCGTAGGAAGGCGATTGCTTTCTTGCCTCCGTAACAGTAACAGTAACAGGCTTGCTGCATTGGAACTGCCCTGGGACAGGCGCAGAGGCTGGGAGCATACCTTGCCCTGGAGGTGCGCCCTCAGCTTCAGACATGTGACACGAGTGTATGTGTGTGCATGACCATGGTAGGCTCCGGGAAGGTGTAACCCAGACAGGCTGTCATGTGTGGCGTGGAAACTGCAAGAAGGACGACTGCCCGCCCCTCCAGGAAAACCCAGGGAATCCCTCTCTTGTCTTATCGTTGCCTGCCAGACCCTTCCCCTCCGACCACCAAGCCCCAGGGATGTGGGCTTTCCACTGTCTAGGCATTGTATTTCTTTGATTACTTTTAAGCTTTTTGGGACAGTCTTGACTTGTGGTGCAGCTTTGAAACGGTTACTGGGGGTGGGGTGTGAGAAGTAGGATTTCTAGAACCTTGCGTCAAAGATCTTAGTGATCTCGTTAGACTAGTGAAACTAGTCACTTCGTATTAGAATGCAAGACTAGAAGAAACTTGAAGGACGTCGCCAGATTGTGGGTCCTTTTGAACCATTTCAGCTCTAAGGGTGGCGAGATATTCCTGTGACAGAAAAAATTCAGACAGCTCTAGGTGTCAGGTTGCGTCAAGGTAGCACTTCAGGCTAAACAAGCAGCTTAGTTAACCATTCTTAACCAAATGAATCTCTTGCACCATTTGTTTGCTTATTACTAGACAAACACAACAGCAAACCAGACCTATTCATTGATCCTTATTTCTCTACACAGCATAGAAAGGAAATGCAACATACGTTTCCTTTTTGCAAAAAGTTAGCATTAGCTGTGAATTAGGATCATTTTAAAAAGACATAAGCCGTTACAAAGTGTGACTGTGTGGCTCCAGTAAATATTCTTTCAGCGCAGGTGTCTGCATTCAACAAAAACAAATTTTGGATAACATGGCTTTTGTTGGTAAATTAGATGCTGATTAATCTATGTTGATTCATAATTGAAAATCATTTTAATTAAGAATCTATGCTTTGGTAATCATGTTTCTGGTATTAAATTTGAAATTAGCTACTAATTGAATTTCCTTTCTCCCCATCAAGAACTGTTCTTTTTATGTCCATTTTCCTTAAGAACTAGATAGGGTACGATGACGGCTGTTTGTTCTACCCCCTTCCTATTTTTGAATGGAAGTTCCAGTTTTCTAGTTAGCGGTCCTTTGATAAGATTCCAGCTTATATATGCATTTTCAACCTTTTTAGATTGGAGGGGATTATTTACAAGAATTATTCTAATACTCAAATAAATCTTTGCTGATGGGGTTTAGGCATCTGGTTGGCAAAAGACTCTAAAGTATCTTTGTATTTATTTTACTTCCACATGAAAAGCACTACATTATTAAAAAGGGAGAATATATCCTCTGCCAACTCATTCAGAATGTTTAATGAAGTGGAGTGCCAGTGCGTAAGGCAAAGGATACCAGCTATCAGAAACTGTGGACGTTGTCAGAAGCTTGAGTGCCTTGCCACTGCTGCAAAGTAGAAATTAAATGTTTGAATTAAATGTTGCTTCAGACATTTGGAGGTTTATTCTGAAGCTTGTCATTTGCTTGCTTGTTTTCTTTCTTCAAGGGTACTCCTGGAAAAATGTCATTTGATGTTTTTTTTTTTTCCACTAAAAATTGTAGAAGAAATTAGAAGTTTGGATTCTAAGTCTTTTCCTCTATATCTGCACCATTTATCAATTGACCCAAAGCATCTTTTTCTCTGCAGAGCCCCAACTTAAGGGTATAGTTACCAAACTATACAGCCGACAAGGCTACCACTTGCAACTGCAGGCAGATGGAACTATTGATGGCACCAAAGACGAGGACAGCACTTACAGTAAGTGACTGCTAAATAAATAGTATGTACAAGCACGTTGTTGACATTGGGTTCTTTTATTTATTTTTAAATCATGCAACTCTTACCAAACCCTTCAGTAAATTCAAAATCTGGTCACACTACATAATCTGTTTACACAGGCTCACCTAAAGAAAGTTGAACATGGAAATACGTAAAATAAAAACTAGAGCAAATAATGTTGACACCATCTGAAGGATGATCCAAATGTCATCTCCATGGTAATCTAGATAGATTTATGACTGTCCTTTGGATTTTATTACTTTTTTCCCACAGAAAATTTACTCACCCACACAGTGATCCCGAAATAGCATGTTATCTCTTCTCTTAAAAACTGGTCTCATCCCAAGAGGCAGGAGTGGTTTCAGACCATGAGGATTCATCATTACAAGCTTTCACTCCTGTCCGCCACGTATACTGATAACTCTGAGACTAACTGGGATTTTAACATTGAGGTATTTCCACAGGTGGTAAAGGGATGCTTTCATCCTTCATTTTAACGGTGGTTTAAGTAAAATCTAAATTACAGACCATAATGGTGAATTAAGAAGGAAAGGAATCAAAACGGAGTTTTATTTCTAATCACTGAAGAAATGTTATCTAAAGGTGTTACGTCATGTTTGCGTACGAATATCTACTTAGAATAATTAAAACTCAAATAGTGCCCCCTTTTCCTCACTGTTAATAATTGGAGTTTCTTTGCAATTTACAGATTTCCGCAGAACTACTAAATATTTTATAGAGCTAAAATACTTAGTTCTCATAAATAATTCTCTTTTCCCAAGATTACATTCATTTTCCCTCAGACTTGCTAATCTCTAGAAATATACTCATATTGGCTGAGAAAAGAGCTAAGGAAAGTAGGTCTCACTGCTAAAGATTTCCCTAGAGTTCTTCTGGAACTGCATAACTATAGACAGCAAAGCCATAAACAAATATCTCAATATTAAAGATTAAAACGTCTTTTAAGAATACTCTTGGGTTGAGGGTTGAACTGTCACCTCAAGAGGAAGTCACCTTTAATTACCCTTGAAGAAAGATCACTTGGTTCCTAGGATAAGGACACTCAGTATTAAATTATTCTACAGTGTTTTGCCAAAAGCTGTGTTACAGTGATAATATTAAAGTTTTATAATGAATCTTAGTTGTTCTTTCATGCATATTATTCTATTTAAAACAACTACTCAAATGAAGTAAAGCACTTTACTGGAACCAAATAAAAGACATTAGTATATAGTGATTTATAATAAAACATTCCGCCAAGTTATATGTATAGATTGGTGCTGGGGATGGAATTAGGGGATGTATAATGCTCTGTTTTCCATAATGCCTCAAGAATATGAGTCTTGCTAAAGGGGCATTTAAAATTAGCTACCAATGAACCCCACCAAGTCAAGTTTCCCTTCATGTATTTTCAATGTCCAGGTCCAAATAGAGAAGAAATATTTTGGATGCAGAATTCATATGTGTTTCCTGAAAAGGAAAGTTATATATATACATATATAAATACATGATTCACTGTGCTGTATGTTGCTAAGAGTGATATGCCAAAAGCATGAAAATCACGCTGTATGTAATCATTTTAGGAGATGCACAAATTACATACATAGACACACACAGACTTCCATCTTTTACTATGTATAGTAGGCTTTACTCCTTCATTCCTACATATGTGTGGCTTCTGTCGTTGGTTGCCATATAACCTACTGATAATGCACGGCATTTCTATGCGCTAATAATATTAGAAGACTTTTAAATAACATAGATGGATAGAAAGAATCTGTGTCTAGTCTGATTAAAACACAGAGCAGTAAGTCAATCAAAGGTAAGTATTACCATAATATGAAGCATGCAAATAGAAAATATCACAAAAGAAAAGGCACACGAGTGGGGCCTTCATGGAAGGAAGAGGAACTAGAAGCCTAGGAAGCTATCTTTGCTTTGGTATTGAGGATATGGTGGAGCATAAGCCATCGTAAAATAAACAATGCTCAGTGACTAAGCTGGTGCATCAAACTGGAAATGTAGCGGTTCAAATTTTCCCTCTGAAGTCAAGCAATGTTTTATATTAATTTTAAGTAACAATTTAAATGAATGGAAAGTTGTATTTTTTCAATTATGACTCATTCATATAGTATTTCCTCAATACATTCCCATTTTTGTTTATATTTTAACACACTTTTCTCATTTCTTTCAACTTAATTGACCCTAATTTAATTTTGATATAGTAAACAAGATTATGATAAAACAAATAATTTCATGCTTAGACATATCCATGCTTAAAATCATGTTTGATATTATGCATTTAACCTTACCTTATGCAGCTTTATTATAATGGTAAATGTCAGCCTAATGAAATTTCATCATGGGCAAATAAGACATTATAAATTATGTATTTTTCCCTGAAAAGGCAAAGATGATAGCCATTTCATGATAGCAGTTTTATTATATCTGCCTTGGGTACAGTGAAGCCTATTTTAAAAAGATAAATTTCACTTTCTCTTCAAACCTGCAATGGTATTACCAGTTCAATATGTCAAGGCTCCTATGTACATTAAAATAATATCTCAATTAATACCTTAGAGAATTTGACCTTAGCTCCTGGCTTCAGTATAGGATTCAACAAACACTGAGTGTCAGTTAGGTCCATAGCTTTAAGGAAGCATTTTTTTTATGTACACACAATAGGAAACAAACAAGAAATACAGAAATTATTAGTTAAAATTCTTAAAAACTGGCAAAAATAGAGTAGATTTTAAGTATTTAATGAATGTACTTGCGAAACACAAGTGAAATCAATTGGTTTTTCATACTGAGAAATTTTTTATCGTGACCGAAATAATATCTTAAATCTGTGAAGAAGTACTCAGCATTTAGAGAAACTAAAGGAAAGCTGGGCATGATGGTTTATGCCTGTAATCTTAGTGCTAAGGAGGTTGAGGCAGAATGTTTGCCAAGAATTCCAGGCCAGCCAAGTCAGAGGAAGCAAGGTTCTGAGTCAAAGAGAGAAAACAGAAGTGAGGAGAGTGAGAGGGAGGGAGGGAAGGAGAGAGAGAGAGAGAGAGAGAGAGAGAGAGAGAGAGAGAGAAAAAATGCCTAGTTAGATAAAAAAAAAAAAAAATGTGTTTGTGTGTGAGAGAGAGAGAGAGAGAGAGAGAGAGAGAGAGAGAGACTGAGAGAGATTTGAGACTCTATGCATACAGTAAGTGTTTCTGGGAAGATTTCCCCCTTGAAAAAATTTGAATCCAACTTAGTTTGTAGTTTATCCTAAATGTCTAAAGAAAAGGTAGTACTGGTAGGTATGATAAGCTAAGCTGCTTCACATTTGATACTATAATGTGTGTGTGTGTGTGTGTGTGTGTGTGTGTGTGTGTGTGTAAATGTGTTTGTATCTGGCTTTACAGAAATTTAGAATACATAATTTTAAGAAATTCATGTTCTACTACATAGTTTGGGAATAGATAGCCCTGAGCATGAACTGATGATTTTTTTTTCTGCTTCTCTTTCTCCATCTATTGTTTGAAATTAAAGCAATTTATTCCTCATTAAAACCAAAATTTAAGAGAAGTTGAGAAACAACATGAAAAGCAAATCAATCTCAATCTTTCTGACTCTCTACCCTTTCTCCTTCTCTTTCTCCCTGAATGCCTCAGGTCAGCCTTTAAAGGTGCATTCTTATAACTAATAAGGTTCAGAATACTGTAAAAATGAGGTTGTAGAAATAATTTGAAATTTCATTTATAGTCATTTTCCATCATCTATTACTATAGCCAAAGAAGTTTTCAAGCATGTGTTGGTGTTACATTTGTCAATTAGAATGTCATGAGATTGACTGAAACTCATGGAACTTATTGTTTAATTTTTTAGGTGTCAGGGTTTTAAACAATGGGATTTGGTGATTGTGGTTATTTTTCTCCCAAAATGTATCTTCATGTTCCAACATGTTGTTTGCTGTCAATCCACATATTGGTTTTGAGCACGGGCTGAAGCTAAGGTTATCAACAGAAAGAAATATGATATGTACATGATGTGGTCAAAGATATTAGACTTGTAGGGAGGTGGGGGTGGATCTAAAGGCAGATGGGGAGTTAAATATGATCAAAATATACTACATGAAATTCTCAATTATAAAAATGTTATATTAAAAAGATATTAGACTTATTTCCTGTGCATTGCATTGTCAAATATAGTTCAAGATCCTGGCTTGCAATCTGTGCAATTAGTTTCCTTTACCTCACGAAACAGAAGGGCACAGCTTTTAATATGACGAGTCTTGAGTGAACTACCATCAGTGGCATGTGGCAGGAACATTTGTATTTTGAACTGTACAATATGTCCTAGCTCTTCTTTTTTCTCTGATTTTAAGGAAAAGATACATTTTGGGCTTAGCAAAGAATATTTTGTTCTTCATTAGTAATTTTTGCCCATGTTACCCTACCTTAGTGCAGCAGAATATATATGCAAGGAGATATGTAATTTTAGAAAAATATTCTTATATCTAGAGTGACACATTTATATTCTTGCTCAAGGAAATAACATACTGGTTTATCCTCTTCAGCAAGCTTACAAAGCAAAGCAAAAATCATCAACATTGGTCTATGACTCCTGTGAGAAAGGTGCCCAAGCTATTTTCAAATGATGTGTGTGGCAAACACTACGTTTTAAAAATGTACTGTTTTATTTTTGTTCATGGTGTGGGAGGTTAGACAGCTGTTAGTGGGAGGACACCCACTGGTTGTCTCCAGTGAGTGGTATGTGGTTGTGAGGAGAGCTTGGGTGTAAGTTTCATGCAGGAAGACCTTCACATGGAGAGATGGAGGCCACATCAGCACCAATCAGCTGCCCTCTTGCAATTACTTTGCAAAAAGTTAAAATAGTATACTTTTCTTAATCATCTTATTTTTAGTCCCATAACCTTTGAACTTGGAGATCAATGCTTGGAGCCCTCTCAGCTGTATCTTGGAAAGTGTCAGTTCTTTATGAAATATTATTTGGGGGCTATAGGACTACAGAATGAAATTTTTTTCTTTTTTTTTTTTTGGTAAAGCTTAGGGTTATGTAGGGTCTTTTTTGCATTGGAAATGATGCAGATAATTTAGATGAAGATGTTGGAGTAGTGTGTCTTCTAAGAGTCTAGGAATTTCTCCCCAACTAGTAGATCTAACTGTGCCTGTGAAAATTTCAGCAACTCTCTTGGGGAGCAGTTTAGCAACTTTGTTTGTGAAGAATAATGCTGTTTAATATGCAGATCTATTCTGAGCATTCTACCTCCCCAGAAACACAAATGCTCCCCACCTCCAATGCTATAAAAACCAGGGTACTGGAACCAAAATCTTCCATTCTCCCTGGAGTGTTTGATAATATGTAGTTATATTCCCATTTAAGTGACTGTAACCGTTAGCCAAAAATACTAGAAAGTAGAACAAGGCTATATTTGTGTGCCTAGATGCATATGGCTAGCCTCACCAAGTCCACACTGCTTTTAGAAAGGCAAATTTCTGGCTTTTGAACACATTGAAAAGCTATGAAATTTGAAATTGTAACATTTTCACAATTTTTGAAATTTCAGCTCTGTTTAACCTCATCCCTGTGGGTCTTCGAGTAGTGGCTATTCAAGGAGTTCAAACCAAGCTGTACTTGGCAATGAACAGTGAGGGATACTTGTACACCTCGGTAAGTCTTTGTGTGCATGCTTTCACAATTCTAGTTTTCTCTGACATGAAAGAAAATGTGAGATATATGTGTTTTCAATGTAAATTTTGGTGAGATAAGTGTTTTCAATGGAAATATATCAGTTGGAAGGACAAAGTAATTTCCTGTGAAAATTATTTCTCTTACTAATTAATCATTGAAAGCTAATTTAGTCAGTATAAAACCAAAGATTCACTGAAAACTTTTGCATGCAGTGTCATCATGATACTATGGACCATTAAATCGTCCATCTGGCTTTGCAGTTGTAGGGAAAAAAGCCACAACTTGACTACACACACACACACACACACACACACACACACACACACACACATCTCCATATTTACTCCAGAAGAAATTAATGAGATCTCTCCATTAGATCAACTCTAGAGCACAAAGACTGGCTTGAGAACTGCTTCTTAGGATTCATTGCAAATCTGTTCAGTTAGCACAGTTGCCATCTGTCTCTACTTACTTCAATTTTTTATTGTTTCATTTGTAAAAATTGGAGGGTACAGTATGGTAATTCAGTGTTGCATACAGTATATAATGATCAGCTCCGGGAAATAAACATTTCTATCTTTTTACGCACTTATTAAAATGTTTGATTAACATAATCATATTTCTGCTGTACACTGTTATTTTAATACATTTCTAAAATATCTACTAGTCAGGATAATTAATGTTTAATCTCTGTATTTTCATTTTAGATTTGGAGACTTTGAGCTCCCCTCTTCTATTTATTATGTACGTATGCACACACACACACACACACACACACACACACACATTTACTTGAAACACCATTTTTTTCTATCAAACATACTTTGACCTCTTCCTACAGAAAAACTTCCACTGGTTTTGTTCTTACAATTTTTTGTGAGAAGACTGAAACATAGAACTTTGTTCAGATGAATTTATAAACAATGTAGGCTACAGTTTCATAAGTAACACAGGGGCCAAATAAAACTGTTACACAAATGTTTCACATTTAAATATATTCAACAGTGTGACTAGAGTTAGGATATAATTCTTATCAGTAAATCTAGTTTCAAGTTATGGGAGATAATTTAATATATAAATATTTTTATTCTTATTTTGAATTTCTATATTCCTATGAAAAAGACAGAATATTGAAAATGAAGAAAATTAGGCTGGTAAGGTGGCTCTTTGGATAAAGGTGTTTGTCATCAAGCCTGATGACCAGAATTTAGTCCTTGAAACTTCAAGCTACAAAGAGTGAACCAACTCCTGCAAGTCTTCTGATGTCTGCCTATGCACTGTAGCATATTCTCTCTCTCTCTCTCTCTCTCTCTCTCTCTCTCTCTCACACACACACACACTGACTAAATGGATTAATGATAAAATGAAAATCTTTAGGCTTTTAAAACTAGAGAAAATTGCTTATCAAGCTGCCTGTTAGCTTTAATGCCAGTTATTGACTACAGTGTCAAATGCAAAGGTAAAATTTTAGTACAAGAAATACATTCTGGAACAAGCATGCAGGCATGGGAAAACTACAGAATATTAGGTATACTCTTGAGAAGACAAAATATGGAGGAGTCTGTATGTATTACCTCTTAAGGAAAGGAATTTAATAAGCATTTGCTAGTCAGGAAAATGAATTACTTTCTCAGTAAGGTGGAAATATTCCTGATTGGTGGTCTTGGAGAAAATATAGGAGGGAAATATCCAAATTAGTGTTTCTGGGAATGAAATTTGAGTCTTCTTCAGGATAAATGGTCCAGTTCTTCCTATTACTCTTCATTGCTTATGGCTTTGAGTCCCTTCAACATACTAATCAGCATCTTCTCTAGGTACTTATTTAAAATGTGGTCTCTACAACCTAGTACGATAGAATTCTATCTTACTGAGTTCAGTAGCTTTCGTTGCCAAAACCAGATTCCTTGGTAAATGGCCAAGTATCTTGATGTATCATTTAGGCTGTGTAGAAGAAAATACATGAACAAGTGTGACTATCTTACGATCAAACTTTATTCACCAAAACAGCAGGCTGGATTTGGCTAGTGGCTGTAGTTTCCCCATTTGTAGCTATCTTGTCCTGTATCTTTTCCTCCAAGTAGCTATTCTTCGCCTCTGTTGGCCATACTTCTGATTTTCACAGATACTCTTTAATTGTATTTTAGTTGAAAAATATAGGTCACCTGGCAGAAAATCCCTCAACTTCATTGTCCGTTACACACAGACACAGTACACTAACGTTGACCTCTGCTGTCATCTCCTTGCCTACCCTTTGAAGAATGTCCCTTCTCAAGTCGAACCTATCCTTTTACTTTTGCTCTTAATCGTCTCCTTTCTGCTCTCGGGCTCCACTTGAGAAAGGATCCCATTTCCTTTGCCTTCGTCTACCTCTACTCCCTATCTACTACAGCTCCTTTTGTTTAGTTGGCAGATATATTGAAGCATTTTATTATTCACCAAAGAACTTACACAGCCTGCCTGTAGGGAACGTATCATTCTCTACAGAGTCACTCACCCATGTGTCCCAAGCACTTGAGAATTTTATACCTTCTGTTTTCTCTTTCTTCTGTGCTTACTTTCTCTTTGGTCTTTTTGAGACAGGGTCTCCCTGTAGCTCCAGCTAGCCTGGAACTCACGATGTAGACCAGGCTGGCCTCAGGCTCACAAAGATCCTCCTGCCTCTGCCTCCCAAATGCTGGGATTAATGGTGTGTGCCACCAAGCCCAGCTGCTTCTGTACTTTCTTATCACTCATCCATCCTCTGTTGTGTGAATTCTATTTCCATAGTTCATTGAAAGTGTTTTTGTCAAGTCACCAAAGACTCTGATAGAGTGAACTCATAGTTCCTGTTTTGTTTGCTTTTTTTCTTTGAAACTTTTTTTACATTTGATGAACCTGCTTAAAACTCCCCCCATTCGTATTTGCAAAATCATTAGATCTTCCAGAATCATTTCTGTTTTCCTTTGCTGGCCACTTCCAAATAATAGTAATAATAATAATGCTATTTAACACAATTTTCCCCCTTTGCATGCTATGTATTTTCTGTACTTTTCGCATGGAGTCAGTTATCATTGCTGTTCACTGCATGGAGCAAAATGAAGTGTCTCTGTGCAGTGACTTTTTTTTTTAAACAAATGTGTATAGTAGTTCTCAGAGGGTTATCAGAGGTCATGAAAGAAAAAAAGGGAAAACCGGTCCTTTTGCATAGGTTTATGGGAAACTTTTAACCAAATAGACATTTTTTAAAAAGGGAATATTTGGTGACTGAGATACTTGACTACAGTTTACTCATCTTTTTCCATTCCTGCTAACAAATTTCCTTTCCATTTCTGAAGGACGATTCTTGAGATGATGGAAAGTGCTGATCCTTGGGAGAACTTTTAATTTTATCTCATTTTTCTTCTTTTCATTTCTGCTTATAGCCCTCAGTTCCTCTTCAATTTTTTTCCCTACCTTACTCCATTAAATGAAGAAATGATACCTCATATTGTTATTGTTACGGAGGCGTCACATTATCTCCCACAATGAATCTTCAAAGTTCTTATAGAGCACAGTCTCTTCCCCCATTATATTCCTGTTGCCATGGGGGACATGTAGGCTCAGGTGGCAGTAAGCAGCCATCTGTGGTGAAGAGAACCATCATTGGCAATTATTTCATAACATTCTTATTTTCAACTGTGACATAACTAAGTCTTTCTAGAATCACAAGAAATTACTAATTGTGCATAGAGAAATTTGTTGTTTGCTTTTGTTTTTACCAATAATGAGTTCCATGAAAGGTTTTGAGAGTTCCTCAAAACTTCATAGCATAAATATTTAATAACATGAAGCAATTTCTATTAAAAATTTCAATACTGTTGAAATAAATATTCATTATCTATTAGCTCAAGAGCCTTAAATATGGAAAAATTGGTGTCCTAGTATTTATTTTAATAGAGTGCTGATAAACAGATATTAGACACAGATGGTACGAATGCAAATATAAATCAAATTATTTGTCTTTTGTTTTAGAATGTTCAGTACTCATAGAAGCATCTTTACCTCTCTACTTACCTTACGCCCAATTTAGTTGACTGTGTTTGGACTATACGCTGTCTCTTCAAGGGGAGTTAGAGTAGCAGAAACTGTGTAGACAAGTAGAGCTCCTTTGAGAAGGAAATCTTTTCCATGCATGCATTTCCAAACATTTGTGGGAATGATATACCCTCCATGTTTTGTGGTTCTTAGACTACCATAGCCAACTAGATACAAGAAAGCAACTCTCTCTGATGAATAAGGCAGCCAGTTTTACTAACCCAGGGTCCCACTCAGATAGGCTAAATTAAGAGAACATACTTTCCCCCTTTAATAGATAATTTGCACAAACTTTAAATTTATCGTGTTTCGTCTCATATGAAAATCTCACAATGCATTTTACCTCAGAGTAATCAGTATCAGAAATACTGAGAAACAAGTCCTGCCATAGCATGACTTATTTTCTCTTTCGACAGCCCAGTTTTGCTTTCCATTTATAATTTTTTGCATGCATGGAAAAGATTTCCTTCTCAAAGGAGCTCTACTTGTCTACACAGTTTTTGCTACTCTAACTCCAATTGAAGAGACAGTGTATAGTCCAAACAGGGTCAACTAAATTGGGTGTAAGGTAAGTAAAGAGGTAAAGATGCTTCTATGAGCACTGAATTTTTAGATGAAGTTCAAATGCACTGGAGGTACTGTTTTATAATTTTATGATTTCACATCACTCATCCTAAAATTTTAGCCATTGCAAAATCAATTAAGACTGCCATTTTAAACAACTTATATTGGAAAATGTTTAAGGAAATAGAAAACTTAGCTGTTATTATATACACTATATACATTTACAAATTGTCCTACTGTACTGTATATGTTTGATACAATTAAAATGATAAAATTAAGAAATAAAAAAATTTCTAAATGGAATTTTTCATATGTCATAATCCCTCTAAACACATTAGATTTGCAAATACATTTGGTTACTG